GCTCAGGTAGAGGCATGCCTCCTAGAACAGGCCCTGGGTCCGATCCTCAGCACCACATATAAATAAATGCAACTGGGGAAAGAGTCTGAGTCTCCCATCCTGCCGGCAGGTGGAGGACCTAACGGTGTCCCCAGCCAGGCACCCCGCTCAGCAGACTCTTCCTTGGCCCCAAACAAGCTGCTTTGGGAAGGACTTTGCAAGTGTGTGCTACGTCTCACCTGATTTCCCCCCAGACTGAGACGAGGTTCTGAGAAAAGTCAGAGAAGTGTCATTTGGGTTGTAGATCTGAAGTGACTCTCGAGGGGACCGAATCCGGCTGTTACCATGAACATGGTCGGAGACCCCAGGAAATGCATGGAGAAAAAGTCTGCTGACGTCAAAGTCCCGCCATGCCCTCCCCTTCACTCTCACTTTCAGTATGAGAGAGGGTCTTAGAAAGAGACGGGATGTGTGTGCTCCACACATGACAGACGGAATAGCAGAATAAGCTTCATTCAGCATTTACTCTGTGCCAGGCACTGTGCTTGGCACATTCCATGCTCTTTCACTTTGAGACAAAACGATAGAAAAATGGCCTTATGAAGACCATCAGAACTACGCACACATCATGGTCTCAAAAAAAGAGTATTGGCCACTCCTTGGCTTCCACTATGCTAACTGAGAGACAAGGCCATCCCCGTCCACAAGGAGCTGATACCCTACTTGCAGAAAGGAGCTATTTAGTAGCAAGCCATGGAAACAATGTAGGTTCCTTGAGTGGATGGAGGAAATGTGGTGTGTCTACACAATGGAATGATACTTAGCCATAAAGAATGAAATTACGGCATTCGCCAGCAAGCGGATGGAACTGGAGACCGTCATCTATGTAAAATAAGCCAATCCCCCCAAAACAGAGGCTGAGTGTTTTCTCTGGTTTGTGGATGCTAACCCACAAGAGGGGACGTCGGAGGAAAAGAATAAAAGTCCACTGGATTAGACAGAGGGAAACAAAGGGAAGGAGGGAAGGGAATGGGAAAGAGTAGCATTGATCGACTATGACTTTCCTGCCTTGAGTCTGTACCCAACCAGGTGACTCCACATGACTCACACCACAGAGTGGGACCCACAGAGAATAAGTCACGCTGCCAAAAATCATTCTACTGCCAAGCATAACTAAAAATTAGAAAAGAAAAGAGCTTTTCAGGCAAAACAATGCAGTACTCTATCTGTAGGTATTTGAATATGATACAACGAAGTGTTAAATTCTGCAACTGAAAAAAAATCAGTGACTAGTTCCACG